AATTGCGTTTCGTATTATTATATATATATTTTTTTTGTTACGCTATTTAACCCTCTAGGCGCCACGGTCGACTTAAGTCGACAAGCTGCGGTACTGTTAAAAACGGCCGAGTGTGACCAACTGAGTGTCAAAATTCATTCATACTCCCTGCCACTAGTTGGCAGACATGTCAGACTACCTCCCTGGCCCCAAAAAACGTCATGCTCCTATACAAAATATTCGAGCAAGACCGCGTTGAACCAGTGCTGAAATCATAGCGAAGCGAATGCAGCTGCGGGGCAGCCTGCGAGTGTTGTACCGCACCAAACACTAACTTTAGACACTTTGCACAGGGTCTGCAGTGGGAATAGTGTTTCTCAGAGTAAGGCAAAGTCATTGGGAGGTTCGGAGACAGGTTAGATTTGCGGAAAACAAGCCTGGAACTCGGGTCGGGGCGCCGCGACCTCCCGCCTCCGCTGAAGTTTCCGCCAAAGTCTCCGCTAAAAGTGCTTCCCACATATTTATTTTCAAGCCTCACGTAATCACCGGGACAGTAATGTGTTGTAGAAGCCTTGTCTTGTGTGTGTTAGATGAGAGAGAGCAGGGGAGATGAGAGAGAGATCAGGGGAGATGAGAGAGAGAGTGGGGGAGACAGCTGCAGCAGCAGGGTCGCGGTGACGCGCGCGTCTGGGCAGACTGCTCACAGCAGCATCATGATTTATATTTTTTTACTATTTTCATGAACATTTACAATGTTACAGTGTGTGCTCTGTGTGTGTTTATGTTCTAGTGATAAATATATGTCTGTCAGTTAGAAAAATACAAATATTGTATGAAAATTCTAAAATCCACTATTTCTAACGCCAAATGACGTCATAATATGCTAATTAGATGGGGGGATTTATTCTCTACATAAACTTTGGACCATCCTTTATATTTTTCCAATTTACAGAAAGCCTTTATCTCTTATCACTTTTAAGTTATAGCCTTTTGAAATTAAGATGTCAAAATTGAGCGTTTTGGAAAAAACCTCTGGCGCTTAAAGGGTTAAAAACATGCATCGTCTAGTGCCGCCGCAGCGGTCAATTTGACAGCGGGGAGGGGGGTTTAAAATGTGGCGGCCCTTCGTAACTCTCACTCAAGCTACGCGTCTCTCCCACATACAGAGACCTACACACACACAGCCCCTCCCCTTCGTGCACACCGCGTGTCTCCGTCTCCATCAGCGATCATCGCTGTAAGCAGCTGTGTCTATTAATTTTGGTGCAGAGAAGACGGCTGGTGAAGTTCACTAAAGGTTGGTATCCCGTGATCTCGTAAATCACACATTAAAAAGTGCTGAATGTTCAGTGTCAATGTTGAATTTCCGTCCCGACTCCCTTAACAAGCGATGACGCTTTCTTTATAAAGTTCATTAGTCGCAAGTTTGCGGTATGTAGTTGGGTTGTCGGGGTCAAAACACTATGTAGCAGCTGTAGCAAGAAATAAAGTTATAAGTAACTTTATGTCATTTTTTTACTCTTACACTGAATGTTTGCTGCTTCAATCCAGATGAGTATTGAACAATATTTTCCGCGATTGAAAAAGACACGCGTTGAGGATGAGGATCAGCCTGAACCAGAGGTATCGGTCTGAAACAGTCCGCAGTGTAATTAGCTATATAAGTTGTTCTTCTGGCAAGCATTGCTTTGGTTATCCCTGTTTCCTCTGTGAACTGTGAACGGGATTTCTCTGCAATGAACAGGGTAATAGCAATAAAAAATTCCCATTGTCTTTATATTGGTGCATTTTGCATTGATAATAATTTATCATTTTGCTTTATCTCCAGGTGAAAACAGACCTCAGGAACAAACTCCATCAATGGACCCTGTCCTGAGGACTTCCCTTATGATATGGCATTAAAATCTTTTTTTTGCCAGCCCCGAAAAATCAGGTGCTCTGATAAAACATGCAAACTTTGCAACAAGTAGGTTTATACAGCGTTAACAGTATTTATAGTGTAATATAGTGTTTATACAGCGTGTGAATAATGTTATTTTTTGCAACAAGTAGGTTTATACAGCGTTAACAGTATTTATAGTGTAATATACAGCGTGTGAATAATGTTTGATATTTTGATCAGTCCAATAAAGCTGTATTTGACCAATTAACGATGTCATTGTTAATTGACACCGCCGATGACCACCACACATTGCCTTCAAACCTGTGGGAAACACTGGATCCGATACTGGTATCAATATCGGCGCCGATACCATAAAAAATACTGGATCGGATATCTGCGTAGAGAGAGACGCCGTGCTGCAGATCCATTTTCTTTTCTTTTTTTTTAAAATTATATATATTTTTTAATACATACCAGGTACCGCACAATGTCTTAAAATACATTGTGTATAATGTACATATACGTATAAAATGAATTAATTAAAAGTAATTTATCAGATCTCAGTTTGGGCTCGTAGCCCCATAGACCATTTGGAACCCAGGTACATGCCGTCGCCAAATACATATCGGAAATCCAGTTAAAGCTACGGTGGTCCCCCTCCCTGAAAGCAGACTCCTTTGCTTTCCTGAGCTGCCGGAGTTTAGCAGTGAACCAGGGTTTGTCGTTGTTATAGATGACCCTGGTCATTGTTGGAATGATGCTATCCTCGCAGAAGTGGATGTATGACGTCACAGTGTCCGTATATTCATCCAAGCTGTCTATGGCAGCTCTGAAAAGGTCCCAGTCTGTAGATTCCATGCATGCGCGCAGCTCTTCCACAGCTTCATCAGACCACACTTTGGAGCTCCTCACTGCAGGTTTCGAGAGCTTTAGTCTCTGTCTGTAAGCAGGAACCAGATGTATCATGGAGTGATCTGAGAAGCCGAGGGCTGGCTCGGGAACAGCGCGAAAAGCTCCGCGCACGGTGGTGTAACAGTGATCCAGAGTGTTCTCCTCTCTGGTCGGGCATTTGATAAACTGTCTGTATTTGGGTAATTCCTGGCTCAAGTTTCCCTTATTAAAATCCCCCAGGATAATAATCAGAGAGTCCGGGTATAAACGTTCCATACACAGTACTTGCTCTGCGAGTGCGCGCTGAGCCTCGCGCGCGTCCACGCATGGCGGTATGTAAACAGAGGCAAGAACGAATGAAACAATTTCACGAGGGGAGTAAAATGGTTTACAATGAATGAAAAGATATTCCAGAGCAGGAGAGCAGTGCTTGGAGATCACTGTCACATCGTTACACCAGTTTGTATTGACGTAGAAACACAGCCCACCGCCTCTGCTCTTCCCTGAGAGCGCACAATGGCGATCCGCGCGGAACAGCCCAAAGCCCTGCAGCTCCAGAGCGCAGTCCGGGATCCGCTCATTTAGCCAGGTCTCAGTGAAGCAGAGGACACAGGATGTGGCGAAGTCCTTGTTTCTTCTCATGAGCAGGCTGAGTTCGTCCATCTTATTGCCCAGTGAGCGTACGTTGGAGAGAAAAATGCCGGGGAGAGCCGTGCGCGCTCCTCTCCTCCTAAGACGCACGAGCAGGCCTCCGCGCTTTTCCCTTTTACGGGCCAACACTTTTTTGGCTAGAACATGAACTAAATCAGCCGCAGATGCCAAGAAAACAGGCAATAGGTCCATGGGAACGGTGGGTCGGATGCTCATAAGTTCCTCACGGGTGTAGGAACAGCCAGATGCGCAGTTAAAAAGTAAAAACAAAAGAAAAAGAGAGCAGCAAAGAGCCATGTCGACCGTACGAGGCGCCATCTTTGTTGTTATAAAAAATGTAATTAAGAAGAAAAGAAGTCTGAGGCACTCTGTTATAGTGAAAAAATAAAAGTCCTTTAGAACATGTGACAGTGTAACACTGTCTCATGTTCTTCCTGTCATGTGACTTGCTTTGCTTTTAAAAGAACACCTGAAGGTGATTATTTATGCCCTGACGAAGACCGCTGTTGGTCAAAACGCGTAGGCAGTCCATTTAATAAAGGACTTTTATTTTTTCACTATAACAGAGTGCCTCAGACTTTTCTTCTTTTTGAAATTCTAAATCTGCTAGATTGTCCCGTCTTTGAAGAGCACCTGTTATTTATGCTTTCTACTACTCGTACCCTCTGCTGCACTCACCTTCCTTGCTTTTAACTAAAAATTGTAATTGTTTGACAGCCCTAATATGGACATTACCCAGTCAAGTTCAAAGATGCTGGTTTGATTTCCTGCTGCCCTGCGTCACTGCTACTATCAGTTTATGTGTCGAGTCATGAGGGTGTCTAATGCTATTGTGCAGTTTCTGGCTTGCCCTGACATTAGCACAAACTTCACTTCTAAACTTTGGAGTCAATGGCATGCTTCTTTGTTTGTGAGACTTTCTGTAAATTTTGGAATTTATATTTGATTATTATGTGTGGTTTTATCACTGCTCTTTTTCAACTTTGCTTTCATTATTCTTAGCTATAGATCCTTTTATAAAGTCTAAATAAGATAAAGAAAAATAAATTCATAACGTAACGCTGTCAAAACAGGCCTTTGTTAGTTTTTGTATTTTACAGCCACAGACGCCTCACCCAGTGTTTTCAGAGGTCTCCCATCACAGTACTAATCAGGCCCTATGCTCAGATCAGGCTTTCACATGCAGGAAGCTCCACAAGAATCAAAATCTTTTTTTATTGCTTTTGTGAGTAACGGGAAGTCCCAAATTAGGAGTTTGCTTTTGCTCACGGTGCAAACAAGATATGCATAACAAAATTGTCATAGAATTTCTTAAAATTACTAATATATACAAGGGCCTTCATACATTTATGTAATTTATACTTGCTCAAAATGGTATCTCTTTTTGATACTAGTTACAAATAATGTTGATCACACATTGTTGGCTGTATTCTAGTTTTAATGCAAATTTAAACTTTAAACTTTTTTAATCATAATTAAACCTTGACAAGAATACATTCTGATGAGTAATTCATAATAGCTTCCTTCATGTCTCAGATGTGAACCACAGCAGATACAGAGAAAGACACCACGTCTCTGCTGGCTGTGACTGGGGCACATGAGCTGGCAGCAGTCCAGACTTACACTCTGTCACTGTGATTCTGAACGAAACTCAACTGAACAAACAAGAGACTGAGAATGAGTCTTTGTGTCATGAATATTTGAACGCTCACCTGTTTAAAACCACCTCGAGCTAATTCCACTGCTTTGTTTTGTTGCGTCTTGTCTTTGTCTCCCACATGTAAAGTGTGGCTGTCGTGAGAAACGCTATACCACGGTTCACCTTTTCCGGCCTCGTAGTTTCGCAGATGTTGTTGTTGTTGTGCTTTTTTTGTTCATGGGCCGCGTGTATACTCCGTCAACATAATAGATCTCTTATTATAACAGTTACCTTAAAGCCAGAAGGAAACTTGTGTGGCCTGTGTGCAGCGTCTTCCTCTTGACTCTACAGCTGTATTGTAGTGTATTCCGCTCAATATTCAAGTTTCAAAACTATTTATAATATCTTTCCCCCAGTGCGTATTATAAAAGTCTTGTACAGACTGCGCTGATATTGCAAGTATAATTCTTGTGCTGCTGGAACTCACAATATCTTTCATTGGATTTCACGATTTTCAAATTTTTCAAATTAGATTTTTTCAAAAGCCGATTAATTGCCTAAATTTGATTTATTGCCCAGCCCTAGTAATGAAACTATATTTTCCCGTCTCCCCACTTTGAGAACCACTGCTTCAATTGGATGACATAATACAATCTGGAGGTAATACTATAATCTTTACAAATGGCCAAACAGATTTTTGTTTTATTTTTTGCAGAAAGAAGAAAGTTCTGAAAGAATGATTTTTACGGAACTCCAATTTGTGTGATCTGAGTTTACATTTGTGTATTGCATCTACAAGATGGCACTTATTGTGGTGCCCAAAGTTCAAACTTGAGCATCCTTATTTGTTGTAATGCCGAATGGACTCCTGTACCTGCTGTATCGCACTATGTTTAAAATCGCAGTAATATTGAATGTGGACCTAATATCGTAATATTATCAAATTACCACATTTCTGCCAAGTAGGTAAGTAAGTAATGTTTGTTTTGTATACCGCCTTTCACAGACCAGTCACAAAGCGGTTTACAATTGTTATTTTTTAGGCATTTGTTCTCTCACTCCACACAGAGATGGGAGCGGGGTCGCCAGTACAGGAGGCGCAACTCCCATCCCGAGTTGTCATACTTAAATGTCTTGTGGTTGTGTGTGGCAGATGTGGCCCCGGCGGAGCAGGAGAAGCTCTTCATCCAGAAGCTGCGGCAGTGCTGTGTCCTCTTCGACTTCCTGTCCGACCCGCTCAGCGACCTCAAATGGAAGGAGGTCAAACGGGCGGCGCTCAGCGAGATGGTGGAGTACATCACCCACAACCGCAACGTCATCACTGAGCCCATCTACCCCGAGGTCGTGCACATGGTCAGTACCCCACAGCCCGAGCCCACAGCCCGAGCCCACAGCCCGGGATGTAAACCAGGTCCTTATCCTCGTCACTGCACTGTTCCCACGACAACAATGCAACATCCATGCTAGGCTCAAGAACTTCTAACCCTGACTTCCACGTTTTCATATTCCCATGTGGCCGTTTTATGGACAATTTTATTTAGCAGATATTTGAGGAGAAATTACACGACAAAGGAATACTCAGTCTTTTTTTTTACCCCTTTTCAAGACCAGCACTTGATGAAACAAAACTAGAAATACTGTGACCAAAAATGAATTCCATGCTAACTTTATTCATATGCGAGTTGAGGCAAGGCTGTTTAATATGATTTAGGTGATCACACATGTCTCAAAGCTGTGTGTAATAATATACAGTTGTCAGTTTTGTGCCCTCTGTGTGATCCACTCTGCTGCTCTGAGAGGGCCAGCATGGTCCTCTTTCCCAGGAGCTCCTGGTACAGACCTGTAACCAGTAGACTGGTATAGATTCAGTCAGACCAAATGTTTATTTTTAACACAATTGCCCATTAAACGGAGAGACGGATGATTTAGATCACAGAACCGTAACACAATAACACTTGGTAGAATAAAATGGGACAAAACACTCTCTGAACTTACACCTCTCTCCCACTTCTCGCTCTGTGCTGAAAGCATCACTCTCTCCTTTTTACTACTTCTTCTTCAGTATTTTAGTAGGCAGTAAGACTCTCACAGTGGCACGCCTAGGGTGCCGCAGGGCTAATTTCAGATGCGCGTCCATTATAAAAGCCTGGGGCATGCACGCCGCATTCGTCAGCCCAAAATTCATAATTGCGTTTTTTTTTTTTTTTGCAACAAATGAAAAAACATGGGAACTGTGCTTTTGCAATAGTCTTTGACACTAAATCACTAAACCTACAGCACTTTTATTTAAACATTATAAGAAGGGCTGGCAGGTTTGACAGTGATTCTATTAAACCTGGCGTCTGATCAAACCTCAGAGACCATGAGGACAAACACATACATTTTGCTCTGTATGGACTTTGCTGGACTTTGCATCAGTCCTCTGGCCTGCACTGTCCTCTACTTATACTGCCGATGTTTTTGGATGCCGTGTGACGCCTACCTTTTCTCTCTCTGCTCCCACTGCTCTCTCTGCACATGCAGTATGCAGGGGACGTAAGGCCCACCATGTTGTAGTCAACACAAAAAGACTGGACCCCAAAGGAACTGATGACCCCAGCTCTGTCTCGCTTAATGAAAAGATTTGCACATATAAAAAGGTGGTTGCCTCATGTGGCATGTTCCTGTGTCGGTGAATTCAATGGTATAGTGTAAAGTCCTGAGAGAGCTTCTGTTGTGGTATAGGGCTGTACAAGAATACATTGAATTGAGTGTGGACTAACCATGTTCTAAAATATACGTGTCTATATTTTTAAGGCAGCAAACCCTCTACGGTTGAGGACAAAAATACTGCAGGTGTTTTACTAAGCTATTGTGGAGAGCATGGTGCGTTGGGGCATTCACATCTGGTTTGGAAATCTGACGGTAGTAAATTCCCCTGCACTGTCTACAGAAAATATCCAAACCAGGTGAATAAAGTACAGACTTGGACATACAAACTCAAAATATTGGGTCCTTGTACCTGCCCCCTGTGGCAACCAGTATTAGTGAACACATCCTTTTCAAGTAACTCCTCTAAAAAGTATTTTCCTAACACTGTAATTGCTGAGAATCCTGTCTTGAACATTGCAGTAAGGTGCTCGGATCCATGGGAAGTCTGTGGCTGTGTGCACGGACACACATGGGCCTGTGTTTGGGGCACCTTTGGCGTCCCATGATCGGCACAGCAGGAGCAGCTCACAGCTCAGTCACATGGAGAACAGAACACACTCACATCACTGTGACCTAGTCCGCAGGCGCACGCTGAGAACAAGCACAACACTGCACAAGTATTTTTAACAAACCCCATTATCGCCCGCAGACTAAACTTCCCCAAATCAAAGAAACTGAAGATTACGATTTTGAACCCTAGCGCTGAGTTTTCTTTTTCCACACTACATGGAAGAAGCATCATGTTGTGTTTGAGCTTATATTTAGTTATAGTTTTATGTTTGTTATTGTCAAAATCAGCATTGTAGAGTATTGAATCATGATTTTTGTCGTATTAGTTCATTAGTTTGTACAAGTACAGACATGTCGGCACTGAGCAGATGATCCTCCATTACCTGCTGTGAACCACAACAAATACCAAAGATTCAATTTAAAACATTAACTTTAACTTTAAATTGGGACTGTAATGCCAAATTCAACGGTTCAATTCATCATTTCGATTGTTGAATTTCATGTAGATGTTTTAAATCCATCAAATTTAAGTTTTTCCAAAATCTGACCAAAACAAAGCAGAAGACTCAAGAACATCTTCATAGACTAGATGTATAATTGAATCATATATAACCCTTTGTTTTTATTTGTGTAGTAATTAGAGCTTTGTCTATGTCTAGCATGTTGATGTCTGTGAAAGATGCAAAAAACGATGAATCCATTTCTAAAGTAGTTTATAACTATTTTAATAATTGATTAGTTGCAATTAATGAACTCGTTACAGCCCTACTACGAATTGAGTATCTGTCATAGGTTGACAAATGTATTCAGAAATCCAATTTGCTTGAGAAATGGCCAAAACTAATTTAGGGACAGTACTTTTAAAAGCTAGAAACTCTCTATTACATGTCTTCTTTAAATATATTGCACTGAATTTGAAAATTTAATGAGTTTTTGATCTTGTCTCCCCAGTTTGCAATAAACATGTTCCGGACACTTCCGCCTTCGTCCAACCCCACCGGAGCAGAGTTTGACCCGGAGGAAGACGAGCCCACGCTGGAGGCTGCGTGGCCACATCTCCAGGTGACCTACCTTTAGTGTCCATGTGTGTTCTCTGTTATATACAGTGACCGCTGATATATCTGACAGTTCCTGTGGTGGCTCATTTAAAGACAGCCACAGTGAGCCAGGTGCAGAAGTTCTTCTGACACTGAGACCAGGGAGACGTAATCCGTTTAAGTCCATTTATTGAACAAAAATAATAATAGAAAATGAACATTACAGTCCTCCACAGTTTGCAGGTAGAAAATCTGTCTTCTCCCACACCTGCACTCAAAGCTCAAACTGATGACATCAGAGCAGTCTAAATAAGGGGAGTGTCTCTGATTTTAAAGCTGCTCTACCTGTTTTTAAACTTAGATATTTGCAATAGCTTTTTACAGTCTTTAATCATTATGAGACTTACAGTAACTTATAACATTTTAGAATCTTTCTTTAACTTAAGAATTGTAACCGTTTAACTTTAACTTTCTAGGGTTTTAACCATTTTTAACATATAATCTGATTGACAAAAAACTATTTTATATTATTAGCTTTAAATTAAACACTTCTTTGCAATTTCACTGCTTTGGCTCTCACAGTTCCCTTTTAATTCAAGTCAGAAGAACATTTGTGGTTTGTGTGCACTGCAGGGATTAGTTCAGAGGACCACCGCGGTCTTCCCGTAGCCCACAGTCATCTTCCTCCTTCCCCTCAGTGCAGTGTCCTCTGCAGCTGTATTTCACAGTGTATGCACGGCTTGGGCAGCTGCAGCAGCGCAAAGACCTACATTGAACAGATTTTATATCTCTGCGATTGCGCTTCAGTAGTAGAGTGGTTAGTGACAGTACAGTTAGAGGAAGTTTGGAGTTTGTTTACAAAAAACAAAGATATGTAAAAAATAAAATAATCTTTTAAGCACCGTGCGCTGGAGGGGGCGCCTTTACCAAATATCCTTCAAATAGAACTTTGCTGCAAACCGTGGGCCTTAGGGGATATGAAAAAAGTAACGCCTAATAACCTGTGAATTATTGTGTCTGTGTGTGTGTGTGTGTGTGCGTGCATATATAAATTACAGTAATAGAAAGGATCATGTTATATCTTTAATTAATTTTCCTCTTTCTTCTTTTGCAGCTTGTCTATGAATTTTTCCTTAGGTTTTTAGAATCTCCAGATTTCCAGCCCAACATAGCAAAGAAATATATTGACCAGAAGTTTGTTATGCAGGTACAGATCACACACTCGCATGACTGTTATTAAAGTTTGAGCAACACATTATTGACTTGATATTGTGGCATCCTCACAGCTGCTAGAACTGTTCGACAGCGAGGACCCCAGAGAGCGAGACTTCCTCAAAACCACGCTTCACCGCATCTACGGGAAGTTTCTGGGGCTGCGAGCGTACATCAGGAAACAGATCAATCATATTTTCTATAGGTGGGTCCTTTCGCTATATATGCAAGCTTTAAACACATTTTATAAATTCATTTTATATTTTATGGGCGTGCTTGACTTTGAATTTACTTTTCAAATGTTTACAACTATTAAGGTCTCACTGTTCTTTTGCTCCATTTTATCACTTCAAAATGTAGGCCTTGTATTTAATTTCCAAGTAAAAATGAGATGGCTTTCTGCATCATGCATTCAGCAATATGTAAAAATCTGGTCAAAAGAGGTACTTCCTCTTTTGATTTCTCCCACTCTCCCCAACTCAGGTTGCCAGATTCTCACCAAATCCAGCTGGGACCCTAGTAGCTGAATAGAAACAACAATAGTCCTCCTATTTTTACAGCCATATGCAGCAGAGTGCTCAGAGGGGTTTTCAGGTAGCAGCATGACCCTTGGCAAGATACTTCACCCACATTGCCTAGAATGAGTTTAGTGTGTGTGTGAAGGGTTGATGGTGGTTGGAGGGGCAGATTCTGGAAGATTCAACAAAAGTGTTATTGTAATTGTCTATAAGGACACTAGTGTGTGTTCTGTGTCTTTTAAAGCTTGGGTACCTAACTTTTTCTTCATAAATTTGTTTGTGCTTAAGTAGAAACTAGAGCCACTTCCTGCTAGCTTTTCTTAGTCACACGTGACGACAAACTGCGCTCTGGAGTCTGAAAGCTTTGAGCTGTCAGTGAATCACTCTGAGGACGGCATTGTGAGAGTTTTCCTCTGCTGCAAACTGTTCTATACTTGTTTGTCTTGACACTTGTCACTTTTGTTGTACATAATTATTGTCACTTTATTGTACATATATCCTGCATGTAACATGTTTGCACATTTCCTCCCTTTGCACAATCTGAGTGTCTCTATCCATGCCAAATGTGACATGTAAATTTCTCCTCTGTGAGATAAATAAAGCAATCTTATCTTATCTTATCTTATGGATCGGTTCTGGGACTTTAAACACTTATTTAAGTGGTTGTGCCATCAGTAGGGAATGAAGCATTTTGTTATGATCGAAATAATGGTGATCCACAAACATTAAAAGCCACAAAGAGATTTGCATTTAAATCAATGTTAGCTTTAAATAAGCTTGAGTGTATATGGAGTTTATAATGTTGTTAATACATGTTGTAAGTAACATATGTGAACAAATCAGACCAAAACATGCTGCTTTTATCTTTTTTTAAAACCTGTTATCTTTTGTATACCGAGAGCTGATTGACTGAGAGAGGGCTGGTACTCTACTACTTTTATTTATTTTTCACTGACAAATTGGATTTTACAATTTGATAGAGGAAAAAATATGACATGCACATGTGTTTCATACAGAACACAATCTGTTGTCTCCTTTCCCAGGCATTAACAACAAAAGAAGTTTTGATAATCAAAATAAACAATGCTAAATAAAAATGTGGCTCATCCTCATACCACACCAGGTCACATACTGTTCAGATACTTGTTCTGCACTCTAAGTGTGTACATAATGAAAATGAAGGAAAAAGCCATGTCTCAAGTCGGGTGTGTGTGTGTATGTGTGTGTGTGTGTTCAACAGGTTTATCTATGAAACGGAGCATCACAATGGTATAGCAGAGCTGCTGGAAATACTTGGAAGGTAGGAGCTCTAGGGCGTTCCAGAGAAGTCTCACAAAACACCTCCTTTTATTGTTGGGTCCTAATCGCTTCCTTGTCCTCCCGTCTTTTCCACAGTATAATAAACGGATTTGCCTTACCACTAAAAGAAGAGCACAAGATTTTTCTGTTGAAGGTTTTATTGCCGCTGCACAAAGTAAAATCACTCAGTGTCTACCATCCACAGGTGAGAATATAGTCACTGTTTAAACATCATGTCTAACCTCCCTGTTCTAACTCACTGCTGTTTCTCGTGGCAGTTGGCCTACTGCGTCGTGCAGTTCCTGGAGAAGGACAGCACTCTGACCGAGCCGGTAGGTCACATGTCTCCCCTGTTACTGAGATAAAACGCATTCAGTGGTTCTCAAAGCCACTCTCGGTCTTTGCTAGGCTCATCTTGTCCAGTCCCTTCATTTCCGACCCCTAGACTAATACAAAATAATTCTTCATATTTAAAAAAAGGTAAAAATTGTTAAATGGAGGTCAGAACAATGTGCCGTTTCTCGAGCCCTATGTAAGTATTATTTTTGTGTTAGATCTAGAGCTGTGTCCGAATCTGTTCAATCAGCTAATATACGTAGCACACATTCCTACTTCCCTTTCAGTTTATGTGAACAGCAGAGAGCCAACATGAAGTGCATGGATTAGTTTATAGTCTATATGATTAGTTTATGACGTGTGGTGCACTGGTTATCTGTTGTCAAAGCAACGTTTGTGAACTTTTTCTAAAGTCTTAGAAGGGATGGTAAGCATGTTTATTGTCAAAATAGACTCACTAGTGTTGACATAAAAGTTAGTTAATTGCATTACACCTCGTCATGAAAAAAGCTTTGTTTTGCTCCATCGCCTGTTACTTTCTTCTCCAATTTACGTTTTATATACAGGTGTGTTTCATAGTGCAGAAATGACAGATGAAAGTAAGACCTTGATACGACAGAGTGGTATGGCTGAATATTTGGTAGAATAGAAGGCTGCAGGAGGTGAGCTATGAGACAATCGCAGGGTTTGTTTCACACGCTCGTGGGGATGCACATGATGCAGCTAAAGCGGCGGTATCTGATTACCACTATATAAAGCACCATTTGTCTCTGTACAAAACAAACACGTATGGCCAGCGCAGCTTTTGTGGTCGAAAAGCCACCGCTGTGTGCTGTTGGCAAACTGATATTTACTAGGCTTAAAATCTGCTGTCGTCTTCTCACTTTGGCCACACTTGTAAATGATGCGCTCACTATAGACGTATGCAAGACTGGGGCGCAAGGAATGTGTAAAGAGAGAAAAGATCCGATAGCCGAATAAACTTTATCTAGAAATTCAACAGATCAAGAAATAATATACTGTATTATAGCTACATATATATATATATATATATATATATTTATTTATTTATTTATTTATTTATTTATTTATTTATATAGAGGCTGGCACTGTTTAAAAGGTTTAACAGAATCAACAAAAAAGGATATATAAATGCAATTGGAACTGAAAGTGTGTTTTAGTTTATCACAATTTTTTTATTCAGAGTTTAATGGTATTTTTCAATATTGGAATCCTACATTTTACAGATCTGGAGCTGGTGCCAGAAACCAAGTCCTGATTAAGCACTACATTAGACTATGAAAGTAAAAGGAAAGTCTAGGGAAAATGACAAGACATGATTCATTCTGTGTATTAATAAAAAGAAGACTGGTAGCTGCCATTAATGGATTGTGTGTTGTGTGTCCGGCTCAGGTGGTCATGGCTCTGCTAAAATACTGGCCCAAAACCCACAGTCCGAAAGAGGTGATGTTCTTGAACGAGTTGGAGGAGATCCTGGACGTCATCGAGCCCTCGGAGTTTGTGAAGGTCCAGGAGCCACTCTTCAGACAGCTGGCCAAGTGTGTGTCCAGCCCACACTTCCAGGTACAAGCCCCCTCTCACACCTCCTCTCACCCCTGTGATACCATCCCCTCCCACACCTCCTCTTACCCCTGTGGTACCTACCCCTCTCACACCTCCTCCTACCCCTGTGATACCTACCCCTCTCACACCTCCTCTCACCCCTGTGGTACCGGCCCTCTCTCACTCCTCCTTACACCCGTGTGCTACCAGTCCCTCTCACTCCTGTGGTGCCAGCCTCCTCTCACCCCTGTGTTACCGGCCCTTTCTCACACCTGTGCCTCCTCTTACCCCTGCACTACCTGTCTCCTCTCACCCCGGTGCCTCCTCTCACCCCTGTGGCACCAACCCCCCTCTCACACCTGTGCCTCCTCTAATATTGACACTACAAATCAAGATTTCGTCCACAATCTATAAAACATTTCTAAAACCAGTCCAAACTACAAATAGGGGCTTGGTTCTAACATGTGCGAGTTCAAGCTGTGTCTGGACAGGTACTGCATATTTATTTTCCTAAAGATGCCTTGCTCTGTCGCAGGTGGCGGAGAGAGCCTTGTACTACTGGAACAACGAGTACATCATGAGTCTGATCAGTGACAACGCGGCCAAAATCCTGCCCATCATGTTCCCCGCATTGTACCGCAACTCCAAGACCCACTGGAACAAGTGAGCATTCTGTTATTTCACTTTTTTTCACAAGAACTTGCCATTTGCAGTAAAACCACATTGGAATAAATCCACAAAAGTTCCCAGTGTGCACAGGACAAGTACAGAAATAAAAAGGTTAAATAACAATAAACAATGTTAAAAGTGCAGAAATCAAACAAACAAAACAGGAAACAATTGTCACTGTGAAATCGATCAACTAAAACAGTTTCGGTACAAGTGCAAGATCATTAAAGTGGCTTGTTTAAACTGATTACAGCTTGTGAAAAGAAGCAGTCAACAAAACCAGATGTCCTGCCTCTCAGAGAACAATGTCTTCGGCCAGATGTAAGAAGCTGGAACATGGCTTTTCCAGGGTGGCCAGAAGAGTCATTGATTATTCTAAGAGCTCAAAGTCTGGATTTATAAAGAACGTCCATAACAGGATGCTCACAGCTCGCAGTCCTCTTTTGTAGCGGAGCACCTTGTTTGGAGCTCTTTGTGATCTTACCAAACCACACAGTCACCGAACCAACATGCAAACTTTCTATGGTGCAATCTTCGTTAGTGATTTGAAAGTAGAGACGCTGACGGGCTGTCTTATCTTCTCCTGCATTCACACACTCTCTGTTGTAGCTTCATTGTTGGTAGCTCTTATGGAAAAACATAATTATGCATACAAGTTGTAATACACCAGTGTAGGTTTTCTGTAAACAAAGTCATTTCCCAGCTGCACACAAACAAGCTTTCTAAAGTAATCTGAATGTCCTCTCTCTCCTCCTCTCTTCTCCCCTCCTCTCCTTCCCCTCTCTCCTCACTCTCCTCTCCTCACTCTCCTCACTCTCCTCTCCTCACTCTCCTCACTCTCCTGACTCTCCTCTCCCCCCTCTCCTGACTCTCCTCTCCCCCCTCTCCTCTCCCCCACCTCTCCTCTCTCTCTCCAGGACCATCCATGGTCTGATCTACAACGCTCTCAAGCTCTTTATGGAGATGAACCAGAAGCTGTTTGACGACTGCACGCAGCAGTTCAGAGCCGAGAAAAACAAGTGAGCCACACGTCCCCTGGTCCCGAACTCCCAAGGCCTCAAACACGCTTTAAATGACATATCATAAATCTCGTCTCAGTGTTCCCTTATCAAACACCGTTGTTTTTTTTAGATCTGTCGACGCTAAGGAACTGATCTCCCAAACTTCTCCCTGTTCAAACTATGCTGATTATTATTATTTAATTTTCTTTGAATTGCCTATGAAAAATTATTTCTTCCTCAAAATTAGGTCCTTTACAACTACGCTTCCTCACTTACACTACACCTCAACTGTCTTTGGTCATTTGTTATGTGTATTTATACATTTTCTCAAATTGTTTCACACTCTAAACCATGATATGGCAAAGTAGTATTAATTATCAATGGCACTTCAGCAGTTGCGAGTTCATGTGTCTAGAAAGTGTGTGGCGAGGGATTTTACAGCCTAAAAACATACAGCTGCTATACTTTGTGGGTTATTATTACAACAATTATTCCCTCAATGAATGAATGAGGAACCACTGTACTCTCCCCCTGCAGAAATTGCTCTCAAAACAAATATGTATAAGGACACAGATTTTGACCATGTCACTTATAAAGACTTCATCTGTTCACAGAGAAAAAGCAAAGTCTAAAGAGCGTGAGGAGGCTTGGGTTAAAATCGAAAACCTTGCCAAATCTAATCCACAGGTGAGTCTGCTCCTGGCTGCCTATGTCTGTGTCAGTGAACTTGAACACAAGATGATGCCCCCTCTTCTGTAGATCCTTTTTTTATCTCTTAACTCTTTCCCCCATAATGACGACATGGGGGAAAGAGATAATTGAACTTGCAAACTTTTATAGTAAGAGGTACATGGGCTGCATATTTCTAAGCTACTTCTACTTCTGGACCAAAAGTTTAGAACTCTACAGTTTTGTAATGTCCTCTTTGATACTCCTGGGACATAGAGCTATATAAGAAGACATTGAATTGAACTACATGGGCATATATGTTGCAACGACAATCACACTATAAACACCAGGATCATGGAGAGCCCTAATACACTGTCTTTTAGCCCAAAATGGTGAGTGTGGCACAAACTGGTTACTGGGAGCCAGAGTGAGTTGGAGCAAACCTTCATCCACGAGCGTTTCCCTATTGGGTAGCATAGTGGGTAAGCATTGTCCATCTACATACAGTCTGTGTGTCCAGCAGGCCCAGACTATAACCTTGAGCGCATTTTTGTCTGAATTTCCTACTCATAATGCCACAAACGGTGACAAAAAAGCACTTTATGACCCTACTTTTAATGAATCCTTGTTTTTTTTTATCAAAGATTTGTAATGACTTTAATATGTGCTCTCTTCACCCATTCAAAATTGCAACCATTTGACTGTTGTTTTTGTGTGTTTCTCTTCCCGCTCTGCCTTCCACTCCTGGTCTATGATCCAGCGCGTGGCCCGTGATGTAAGTTCTGCTTCAGATTAATCCAACTGTATCCCACACATGTCTATCCACATTTCTCTTCCAGTCAGTCACACTTGGTTTTATTTCAGTAGTCTCCCATCTCTTACGTCTGAACCTGACCAGCCAGGCCCTTTCTCAGGCCGTCGTCCATCTGTTCAAATGCAGAAGGGGCAATAAAAATCATCCTAAAACTTAGAACGTGAAAATTCCTTTGTGCAAATATCCAGGATGAACAGATTGTACGAGTTAATGGACTCCCGGTTATCGGTGAAAAATAGAACAGAAAACAAAAAATTATTCTGTCATCGCTGTGTTCTTAAAAGCGCTGTGTGACCTTGATCTGTGAAATACTATAGAAGTAATAAATAATGCTTACTTACTTACCTACCTACTTACTTACTAACTACATTACTTACTATATGAATAAACAGACATTTCAATAATTGTGATTATAATGACAATTATTGTAAGTGAGTATGACAACTCCATCCATCCATCCATTTTCTTCCGCTTCATCCGTTGCCGCGGGGGCAGCCGTCTAAGCTGGGACCCCAAGGTGTTCCCAGGCCAGCTGAGAGACTTAGGCTGAGTTTACACGGAGACAATGTGGAAGTAAAACGGTATAGTTGGATGTCGGTTGCTACCAACCGTTCATACGAAGACTGTGTTCCAGGGGGGTGAAAACGTAAGTGTTCAGATCCAGCCTGCAGAGTGGGACAACTCAGATACGCTGCACAGCAGGGAGCTTTTTCACACCTGCGAGAGGGGAAAGGTGTGAAATCCCCCTCTGCTCTGACCCCCGCCTCCGCGCTGCTCCCCGCACGTAAATTTGGACATGCGCAGTAGCGGAGAACAACCATCAACAATAATGGCGCCGCCCACACAAACTAGCTACGTGGACTTCCAGCGCGGGACAGAGGATAACTCTACTCCTTCGTTCGTCCAAACGAGACCACGCGAAGCTCTAGGTTCAGTTCCCATTTTCACAGCTGCTGTTAAAATGCAGAATGATGTTGGTACTCTCTGAGGGTCTGGCACAGGAAGTGAGTATACTGCTGAGAGGGGGGCTCGGCACGGGGCTGGGGGTCGTGTGAGTGTTGTAAAGTTTCTCTGCCCACTACTGGCCGGGCGCTAGAACTACATCGTTTTTCAACCTCATGTGAACGCTGAGAAATTTGCATTAGGAGCCAGGTCGTTTCTGTTGATAGCCTGGAAACGTCTGCGCAGCATCTCTGTATAAACAGGGCCTTAGGCCCCGTCCGAATTCTCACCCTTGCCCTTAAAAAGCACACTTGCCCTAGAGTTTACGTGTGCCCGCGGGAGTGGAAGGGTGTCCCAATACTTGGGGAGAAGAGGCGAGGGCCTTCACACCCCTAAAAACCACCCTTGAGCGCAAGTGAGGTCCGGAGCTCACTTGCGAGCGAGGGTGATCCCATGATGCATTACGCTGGAGGGCCAAAGTCTCTTCAGCGTGTCCTGGGTCTTCCCCGGGGTCTCCTCCCGGTGGGACGTGCCCAGAACACCTCCCCAGGGAGGCGTCTAGGAGGCATCCGGAACAGATGCCCGAGCCACCTCAACTGGTTCTTCTCGACGTGGAGAAGCAGCGGCTCTACCCCGTCATTACCCACAGCTCATGACCATAGGTGAGGGAGGGAACGAAGATTGACCGGTAAATCGAGAGCTTTGCCTTTCGGCTCAGCTCCCTCTTCAATCAATCCTCGTTTATTTGTAGAGCGCCTTTCCTACACAAGGCAACGCAAAGTGCCTTGTGTAGGAACCCATATCACATCACATCATGCATAAATCATCAAACATTAGAATCTACATAAACATTAAAAAAAGCACATTAAGAGCACAAGATATATAAAAAAATAAAATTACACAAGTAGTTATAAACCTCAAAACATAAATAGCCATAGTGCATTAAAAAGGTGAAAGATAAAAACAAAGATTAAATCATTCAGTTGTATGCACAGCTAAACAGAACTGTTTTCAGCCTAGATTTGAAAACTGCCAGAGTAGACGCCTGTCTCACATTCTCAGGAAGACGGTTCCAGACTCTAGCTCTTCACCACAGCGGTCCGATACAGCGACCGCATCACTGCGCACGCTGCACCGATTCGCCTGTCAGGCGTATCCACTTGAGGAGGGACTTGGATTTGGAGGTGCTGATTCTCATCCCGCTTCCCACTCGGCTGCAAACCGTCCCAGTGCATGTTGCAGGTCCTGGTTTGTTGGGGCCGACAGGACAACATTGTCTGCAAACAGCAGAGATGAAATCCTGTGGTCTTTGAACCGGACCCCCTGGCTGCACCTAGAAATTCTGTCCATAAAGACTGTGAACAGAACCGTTGACAAAGGGCACAATTACTGCAAAATTAAATGACAATGTTTTTACAAAGTATTTATAGTAAAACCACTCAATGTCACAAGTCTTATCCATATACATAGTTCCCACAGACCAATGAATGTCACATGACCTCCTCGGAGACGCCATCTTTGATGGCACGCTGCTGTGTTTGTGCATTCCATTAAACAGAAGAATGAGAATAAATGTAGATATTCAAACGCAAATTGGAAAAAAAGGGCAACTTTTGAGCAAATAATTGTATATTAATACAATGGCACCACAGTTTAACGTGCTACGGACATGTTTTACATATTTGATCAAATTATGCAGCAAAAATTAACAAGCAATGCAAACATTTAGATTTAGATTCTAAAAACTTTAGATTTAATACCAGTTGGAGCTCCATTTAATTATTTTAATTATATTAACAATTAATTTAATTAATGCTAATGCCACACGGACACTCTGGATTGCTGTTATTGTTTATTTCCGCGTTTTTGACCGTATGTTTTGGTGAATGGTGGGCAACTGATTTTTCCAGGCGTAAAGAGCAGTTTATTATATGACACAGATCTTTTTACAGAAGCAATGCTGTTTGTGAACATTGTTTTAGCCCACCATAGAACTATTATTATCTATTTAATACATTTACGTTGCCCTCGAGAGCCTCGGACGCGACACCGATCCTCCTCATAATAAAGTAATCTAACGCTAAATAATGAAACTCTCAAGTTACCAGCTATCAGCATACACAAGTTAGTACTGAGTAAATTACGTCTGTCAACACATTATAAGATACGATACGCACCTGACACAAAGTGCTCCGAGCATATTCTTGCGTGTTTTGAGGGAGATTCTTGCCTGTTTATCTTCGCAAGCCATAACCTCCGTGGTTGTTCTGACAAAAGCTTAGTCTTCTCACATTCATGAAGTCTAATGATGGGTATACTGTAAAATCCAAGTTTAACGGAACCTCCGGCACGATTTGAACATCCATTGACCCAGCAGGAGATGACCATTTTCAACTTTATCACGACATTAACACGTTTCAGCTTCTTTTTCTATTGTTTTGCCCACAGAATGCCAACACAAATGGCGCCGGGTCGGCAAATCCCCGTATGTAGTGACGTCATGTAGGAACTATGTATATACGTTCTCCTGCGCCATCACTGGGGCTTTGTGTTGGTCAAAAGCCCAAATATCAAAATAATATTGTCTGGTATAGAAGAACCCAATACTTTTAATTCTACTAAGAAGAAAAGATCCTAAACTATCTTCATTACAGCCCTAAAAATAGTGATTGTAAAATGGTGTGGCTCTGGCTGGTCAGACGCTCCTGTGTGTCCTTCTGTTATCAGCAAGGAGACAAGGAGTGTGTAAATGAAATGTAGTTTTGTAAGCTGTACCAAAAGCAAGCCATGAATGATAATAAGTATTTGACTGAAGTGTTAAAATCCTCTGTGCTGGTTCTTCTTTGCATGCCACTCAATACTGTTCTCCATCCTCTGTTTTGTTCCCCTTCTGTTCACATAGTTCTCTATGTATGTTGATTCCTCTGACCTCAATAGTCCTGTAGCTATGGAGACGGATGTGCCGTTGATAGAAGATGTTCAGATGTTAAAAAAGACAGTTGAGGAGGGCGCCACTCAGGTAAACCTGCCTTCTCTCTGTCACGTCTCAGTTACAAACTAGTTTACACAGTTTTGCTGCACTAGTTACAAAGTTCAGGTGAATCTCAGAAAATTGTAATATTGTTTTAAAGTTAGTTCATTCCTGTAATTAAACTTACAGTGTGAAAGTAATGCAGGATTTGTTGATATGAATCCCTACATGAAAGGTGTCGTAGGCCACCATTCTAACAGATAAAGGCTTGACCATAGACTGCATATAGATAGACAATGCTAACCAGCTAGCTCAAGGAAGCCCAATTGGGAAGTGCCCATAAACAAAGCTCAGATTCAGATTCAGTTTATTTGCCATTTGCAGTAAAAACACCACATTGGAATACATTAGCAAAAAGTCTCCAGTGTGCACAGACAAATACAGACATAAGACAACATTAAAAGACAAAAATAAAACAAATAAAACAGTAAACAAATGTCACTGTGAAATTGATCGACTAAAACAGTTTCAAAACAAGTGCTCAACTATTGACTTAAATTGAAAAGTGTACTCTGAGTTACTGTTTGTGTCTCATTCACCATTTAGGGTTTGAGAAATGGACCTGCTGTTTGATATTGTCTTTTTAAATCCAGTTATGAGTCATATAAGAATTGATCGATTTAACATTAAGAGCTCCATATTGTCTCTCAGTCGGGAAAATAAAGTGTTTCCTCGCCGTTTACAGAACAGTAGGATTAAGAAACACAATGAACAATACCTCGAGCTTTAGCTTAATAAAGAAAATCTCTAACTTTAGCCTGAATGCATCATTCAAGGGGACATTTTACTCAATCACAGAAGTAAACAGACTTTTGAACAATATTCAAATAATCAGAGTTTCACCTGGAATTGTGTTGCACTAGGACTCAGGGGTTTGCCAAGATTTTAAAAATGTAATCTTACCCGGTATTTTGTCTCACGATCAATTTATCAATTTGCTGTTTGGGGTCAACACCCAATGAAGCTTATTATGAGCTCCCATGTCCGATCGTGAGCCATAAATATCGCATATCGTATAGTGCTGTGAGGGACCCAGAGATTCCCACCACTACCAGATTTACAAACTGGTTCATGCCGTTTTTTTATTTGTATTTTTGTATGTTTTTGTTTGACTAGACAAATTCTGAAATGTAAATGTGGCCCTGGACTGAACACTGGAATCACATCCCCTCTGTGTGCTTTTGTCCTTTGTCTCCAGTTTAGCTTCACCATTTATTTATTTTAATTTCACTCTATTAATTTGTTTCCATTTTTTAAATAATTTGGCAAATCCTACCTCATTTCTGATTGTCTCTACTTTTAGGAATTGTCTGTTGGTTATACATTTCAGTAATCATATGTGTAGATATTAAGTTTTTTATGATTTATTGTATTTAAAACATGACTCAACACTTGTTTTACAAAATAACAGTCTCATAAAGCGTCTCGTCTATTTTGCCAAGAACATCACGGCTTGGTCTGGGAGTGTTTGACTCAGCTGTGTGAAAGTGCTTTTCACTTTCCATAGAGATGCCAAAGAGATGCTTACAGACATGTGTGTAATGGGATAGAGGCTTCACTGGACAATTACCACTTGCTATACGTTAGACAGGAACAAAGTGTACATACAGAACATTCTGCAGCGTTATTAGGATGTCTCACGATTCAAGACATCAGGCAAAGAACAAAGGAAAACATCCATGTGCTTAAAGGCCACCAAGTCTGCTGATTTGAGTTTTTAACCAAATTCAACGCATCTTTTATTCAGACACAAAAAGTTCAACATAAAGTATTAAAAATAGTAGGTATAGACAAACAGGCATACAGTGTTTACAATATTCTGCGTAGACTGTATTTTGAGGTCAGAAGTGTGTCTGACACTGCTCTGCACATGACCTGTTAAAACCTTCATCATTTCCTTTAGCAAGTCCTTTTCATGAACTTGTGCTTAAGCTTTACCAAACCGTGCGCTGTTTTGAGCTCAATTCAAAAAAGATTAAGTATTGCAGACCAAAAAGCTCGTGATGAGGCACAAATGTTGAGGGAACATTTTCAAAAACAAGAAAGCATTCCACAAAAGATGGACGTCCAAAATTATTAGCTGGCGTTTCAGATTATTCCTTTCTCTTTCTTTGGTCCACAGTGTAAATGTATGTTTGTAAACAACAGGAGGCCAGGCCCTGTGATCGTCAGAGTCAGAGTTGGTTCATATGGCACCAACATGCCACGGATGTACTGGGATAAGATTGATCTATTGATCTCACAAACATTTAGCTTTAAGAGATCAAGTGTGCAAATAAACAGGAAATGTGCAGACAGGTAAAAAGTTTTACAAAATATATGATATCTTTATGTACAAGAGAGCGGAATTAACTCGTTCTTTAGGACAGTCTAAACGTACTTAAATCAAGTTTAATGTAGAACCATTCAAGCAACATATATTTCTCATGTTTGTTCAGCGTAGAGCCTGACTATGCGTGGTTGCTAACACTAAATCTTCTTGTTGGTGTTGTTGGTGTTGTCAGTTGCTGGAGCAGAGGAAAGAGCGGCCCATGGTGCGACGCAAGTCCGAGCTGCCTCAGGATATCTACACCACAAAAGCCTTGGAGTCCCACCGCAGAGCTGAAGAAATGCTGACCACCCACGACGGACTCTAGGTGGCGCCGTCTCCCGTCCTCCTCCTCTTCCTAACCCCCCCTTCCCTCACACATGCCCGACAGCCATGAACTCTGTGTGTCGCCATGGTCCTTCGGTTCGTTTCATTCCTGCAGTCCGGACCCCTCACTCAAAGACTTTCTCAGGTTTTGTTTCTGTTGGAGAGGAGGCGAGTTTGCTCTTTTTGCCCTTTGCCATGTTTCACTGTGTGGTTCTCCTCAGACGGGGACTGTTTATCTGACAGCTGGGTCCTGTAAACTGGAACAAGCTTCTTTTTTGAGTTTTTAATTAGAAAAAAAAATGCAGTGTCCATACTGGAACACTAGATGGCAGTTGTTTTATAGAGTTATGTGTGACGTTCTGATGTGGCAATTTTCCGTTCAAAAAACTTCAGCGGCTCAACTCATGCTTTGTTTTTGACTTTATAATGAGTTTAATTAAAAAATATATTTAAAAAAAAAACCCAAAGCGATGTATAAACAGTCTGTGAAGACATTTAGCATTAGCCTTATCAATGCACTTGTATCACAACTAGATGTATTAATGTAAAGGTTGTTGAAGACTTATAATACAATAGTTACCTACTGTTATTTACTTTTATTACATCTGGATGTATCTTCCACGTACATCAATATGTAACTTAAGTTTTACATGTGCATTGATATGATGTAGCTAAACACATCTCCACCAGGCGTTGAAGGCGAATGAAAGGATGAAGTAGCTTGAATTGTTAAGGTAAGCTAACGTTATGCTAACTGCCGTTTTGTTCAGCGCTTAAAAAAATAGGCTAGGATTAAAGAACAAATAGGACAGAGCAGTGTTGTATTTGCATTATAAAATACTTAAATTACGATCTTTAGCCTGGACCCTGGTGCAGTGTCATGTTAGCCGTCATGCTAACGCAGCATAGCACAATGGCTTCTAATCCTGATACACTTGAGGGCCTTTTATAAAATATCTAGGTGAAAATTGTGCATTATTTTTCTATTTTAAAGCTATATATGATGAATATAAATTATTCTAAAGTAATCAATAACACTAGCTTAATTTAGTGTTTATGTGAATACTAAACCTAGCTATTTGGATATTCAATTCAATGTATTTTTGTATGGCCCTATATCACTTTGCAAAGTTGTCGATTCACTAATAACAGAGAATTGTTGAACTCAGAGAATTTAACCGTTTGAAAACAGGATATGCAATAATAACAAACTCATAGGAACCAGTGGTCCATAGGGAGTGGGATACATTTGATTGTTGTGAACAGAACGTTTCCGAAATTCTAATGGAGATGTCAAAGCTAAATATGTAAATTACTAAGTAGGATAAATTAAGGTGGACCCATTGTCGCGTAAACAGTGCTTTGTCCTAAACGGTTCTGAACGTGGATCTTCGGAAGGCCACACGTGGTTCAGTCATTCCTGCTCTCTTTCCATTGGCCCCGTGTCCTGCTTCTGTGAAAGGGAACGACTTCTCACTGCACTGCGCCAGAGGACTCCTGCCCGGCGGAGCTCGTCTTCTTATTTGTGGTTCTGAGGGACCTCCCAACTATTTCGGCTTGGTTTGTGCCATATGTTGCAACTTCCTTCCTTTTCTTTTTGCTTGTGTTTTTTTGTTCATTGGACATTTTTGAGAGAGAGAAAAAATAGACCACAAGGACAATTGCAATGATGGTAATCAAGCTAAAATGGAGGGAAAGTATTCTGAAGATGTCTTGAAATTTATAGTCTTAAAAAATATAACTTTAACAGTATGTCGTTGGATCTCCACCTGCATAGGAAAATATAGACCTGCTACAGCAGTGATTCCCAAATAAGGGTTCTACAGGGGGGGGAATTATTTTCAAAGCATGCAAACATTGATAGTAATGCGGGCATACCCTGTGCAATTTTTGGCCCACTTTTTCCACAAATGTATGTGTCATTCAGAGTGTGTGAGGTTACCAGCTGCGATTATCACCTCACTATAAGCTCACGACTGCTGATTGTGCAATTGGGAGATGACAAACATTTGACCAGTTCATTACAAATGTATTAAATATTCAGATGCATAATGAGTACTATATGGTACTGATATACCTTGGACACTCTGGTATAACAGTAAAGCTTAAAATCAGCCCCCCTGGGTACCGCTGCACTGGGAACCACTGCACTAAAGTGGTGCATCTGTCTCAACCTCTCCTGTTACATGTTGCAACCTCAGTACTATTGTTTAAAATGGCTGCTCCTGCATCTCGTCCTGGACATAGACCGTATATTAGGAGTGGGCTGACAGAGTGTTGACGTCATTTGGAGCGAGTTGGAGCTAAACTTCATCTATGAGCACTTCACTATTGAGCTTCATTGAGCTTGTGGGTGAGCATTGTCCCTCTTTATACAGTCTATGGTCCTGGAGGGTTGCTCTCCTGGGTTGCTCCGACAGCCTGCTCCCTGTGGCCTCAGAAGCTGAGAACAAACACCTGTATTCATACTGTCTTTGCTGAAATGCAAAAAGCTGTAAATGAAGAACCATGTTAAACATGTACTTAAACCTGGAGGAATGCCATCTTGGACTTCTGTTGTAGACTCCATTACATTTATAAACCTGCTTGCTGAGAGAGATGTTCTATGGATTTTCTGACTTTGAGTACAAGCTGTGTGAGATGATTTTTGTGCGGATTCCGCATCTGTGTTGAGATGACTTCAGTGATGGTTTGTGCTCACTGCAGGCGCATTGCAGCCTTTTACTTTTAACATATTATTTCCAAAAAATAACTTAAAGTGTCCTTTTGTATGTGACCTGTACTATATGATTCATTTAATATTGTATATATGATTTACCTTGTTTCATGTAGTGTTATATATCTAGATTAATTTTGTACAAATTGTCCCTCTGTACAGAATAAAACATCAATAGCAAGTAAAACAAGTCATGACGCTCCTTTACTCCTGTTTTTTTTTTTCAGAATATATTTGCTACAATCTGATGTACTTTGCTAATCTTCATCAATGTTTTGAATACAGTGATTTCACATAAGTGCAAATTGACTCTACCACAAAAGTTGGTCATAAAAAGTGTGTGGCTCTGCTTTGAAATATAAATTAGAATATTTTTCATTTATTTCTATAATTCAACCAAAATTAAACTGATATTGACTCTAAAGTGACATATGCCAAGCCTTGTTAAAATGTTGATTAAAGGTATATAGGAGGATTCTCTAAAGTTTTAGGAAAGAACTGCCCTCTCCACTTTTCGAAAAAAAAACTCTCGTCTTATGTGACGAGCACTTATCACCAGAATGATTGACAATTGGGAGGACCAATAGTCTTGATGATCCACACGGAAGTAGAAAATCTTCGTATATACAGTGCCTTGCGAAAGTATTCGAAGACCTTTCAACATTTCGCCACATTTCAGGCTTCAAACATAAAGATATACAATTTTAATGTTTTGTCACTTTTTTAACAAATAAAAAACTGAAAAGTGGGGCCCATCCATCCATCCATTTTCTTCCCTTTAATCCATTTCTGGGTCAGGGGGGTGGCAGTCAGAGATGCCACCCAAGTCTCATAGCACCAGCCCCTCACTGACCCTCTGCAGGTGGTGAGTCCACAGGAGGACGGCTGCTCTCTGAGTGTGAGCATAGCCTTGATCTTTCAGTGGGGGCTTTGGGCAAAGTGGGGTTAAGTGTCTTAAGTGGGGGCGTGCAATATTATTCGGCCCCTTTACTTTCAGTGCAGCAAACTCAGTCCAGAAGTTCAGTGAGGATCTTTGAATGATCCAATGTTGTCCTAAATGACTGATGATGATAAATAGAATGCACCTGTGTGTAATCAAGTCTCCGTATAAATGCACCTGCTCTTTGATAGTCTCAGGGTTCTGTTTAAAGCGCAGAGAGAACCATGAAGACAAAGGAACACACTAGGCAGGTCCGAGATACTGTTGTGGAGAAGTTTAAAGCCGGATTTGGATACAAAAAGATTTCCCAAGCTTTAAACATCTCAAGGAGCACTGTGCAAGCAATTATATTGAAATGGAAGGAGTATCAGACCACTGCAAATCTACCAAGACCCGGCCGTCCCTCCAAACTTTCATCTCAAACAAGGAGAAGACTGATCAGAGATGCAGACAAGAGGCCCATGATCACTCTGGATGAACTGCAGATAACTACAGCTGAGGTGGGAGAGTCTGTCCATAGGACAACAATCAGTCGTGCACTGAATCTGTCCTTTATGGAAGAGTGGCAAGAAGAAAAGAAGAAAGCCATTTCTCAAAGATATCCATAAAAAGTCTCGTTTAAAGTGGTTCTCACCCCCGCTCCTCGGAGCTTACGTCACTCACATTTCCTGTTCAAATCTTCCTCTAAATGGGCGTGGCCTGGAGGACTAAAGGGGGCGTGAACGAGACTGGGCCGTTTACATTGCTCTGGGCGGGGTGCTGCTGACGTCAGGTCCAACTTGCAGACGTCAGGTCCAACTTCTGTGCCAGTGTTGGCGCCAGATTCAAAATTCAATTGTAGTAATACAGGTCGCCAGCAGATGGCGCCTCACAGACGGTTTTAGGCAGAAAGTTTAACTTTCAACTAATTTGCACCAAAGTGACAAGATTATGACCAGGATATGTAGACAACACTATTGGACACTCATTTATACCGTTTATCAGCAAAAAAAAGTGGATTTGAGGGTGAGTTGTCCTTTAAAATTTGCCACAAGCCACCTGGGAGACACACCAAACATGTGGAAGAAGGTGCTCTGGTCAGATGAAACCAAAATCGAACTTTTTGGCCACAATGCAAAACGATATGTTTGGCGTAAAAGCAACACAGCTCATCACCCTGAACACACCATCCCCACTGTCAAACATGGTGGTGGCAGCATCATGGTTTGGGCCTGCTTTTCTTCAGCAGGGACAGGGAAGATGGCTAAAATTGATGGGAAGATGGATGGAGCCAAATACAGGACCATTCTGGAAGAGAACCTGTTGGAGTCTGCAAAAGACCTGAGACTGGGACGGAGATTTATCT